TGTGACATCAGAAAACTATTCATTTCACATTGTTAGATATTTGTACCTTGAATTATAGTATTTTAATATATCATACGCTAGTTTCACTTAATCAACACACAATCACCGTATAAAATAATCAACTTGCACTTTAATTTGTGTTTACTTAATTAATCCTATACCTACTACCAACCGCCTCAAATTTTTTTATTTAAATTTTTTGTACCCGTCTCTATTCAACCCTTCTTTTTCCAACATTTCACGTATTCGATTTTTCTAAAATAAACTAATGAAAAACTACACTTTTTAATCAATTATTAGACTCTTCAAACCCTGTAAATTAAAATTACGAATTTAATTTGTGTAACAAAACAAGCAAGATTTACGACCTTAAATACTACTACTAATTTCCTAAAATCAAAAATCCCCATTTCTCTTCCCGAGTAAACCATCAAATCTGGATTTCAAATACAAATTCCCAATCTAGTAGTAACTCCTAACGCATAAATCGACCCAAAAACACACAATAAATCGACGACTTGATTGAGGAATTCACATCTTATCCCAGAAACAGAGAGATTTTAAAAACCAATCAGATTCAGAGAGGAGTAATAAATAAATAACCTGAATCTCTGGAGCTTTCGCTGGTTTCCTCCTTCACAGTAATCGGAGAATTTTTTGAACCCAGCCCGAGAAAATCTCTCTCCATAATTCGATCTTAAAAAAAACGAGCGATCAACACGTGAATTAAACGCCGGAATCAATCAAATATCCACCTGAGAAAAAAGTAACGATTAAAGCTTTTAGCCGGAAAAGGGAGGGTTTGGGGAAGAAGAAACGTGGGATGAAGTTTTTAACATACACACACCGCGATTTCTCTTTTTAACCATAGCATGCGACATGTGAACAGCACGATGTAATTTATTAAAATTAAAAAAAGATTCCTTTTTCCTATTGGCGCAAAAACCAGCTACAGGTTTGTCCGGGTACGTTCACCGGATATAGTCGGTTAAAAGGCACGTGCATCGTCGTGCAGTGCGAGTTCTGCGTGTGGGCGTTTCTTTTGTTAGTGCGACACGTGGCGAGGCACGTGCGTTATATCATGTCCCCGCGTCACTAGCTGCCGGTCAAAAAAAAATTTAACGTGAATGATTCACGCGATGCGAAGCGGCAATTTTAAGTGATTTCTTTTTATTCGATAGTACTAACAAAAATCCGAAATTGTCGGCTAACGCGCGAAACGGAGCGCGTGAGTTTTAAACTCGTTTGTTTTTTAGGAAAAAAATCTAATTACTGTTACTTTCCTGCACGTTCTTTCTCTCTTTTGAGTCTAGATCAAGGTTAACGTTGATTGTTTTTTTGTTTTTCTTGTCAAAAATATATTTTCTCCATTTCATTACAAATATCTTAGTAAAATTGTTTATTTACTTTAGAATAAACGGATTCTAATTTTAAATAAATTTAACATTAGATATTTAGTTTAATCTTGAATAAGAATACCAATAGTTGAATAATTCTTTAAAAATATAGATAAAATTATTATATTTCATTAAATATATATGAAAGATATGGAACCAACATATGTTATAAAATAGTTAAATTGGTCATATTGGTGACCACCTTTGAACATAGTGGTTAAAATTTTTAAAGTGGTTATATAGAAAGTTATTAAAATAAAACGGTTATAAACAATGGTTAGAAAAAACGGTTGGATAATAAAGAGCAGTTTAAATATGTTTGATTGGTAGTATTATAGTGGTTTAATAGTATAATTATATAAAATTATGTAATATAACCGTCCGTTTCAACCATCTATTTAACTTTTTTTTTTTAATCGTCCGTTTCAAACGATCGTTCGATTGGTAATGATCAAACGATTCAACCGTACTATTATACCAAACGATGCAATCAATCTAATCCTTTGTAGTAAACGGGAGTAATAATTGATAATGATATAATACTATAAAATTGTAGATAATGGCAAAAATGATAAAAATAAAATTGAATATAATATTTTTAATAAAAAATTAGTATAATTTTGTGATTAATAATTACAAAAACGATAAATCTTGTACGGCTGCGATGCAAAACTACCATTCGGACATACGACGTAGTCTTTTTTATATAATTGTTCTCTGTCTTTTATATTTTAATCCTCAATTCACCGGATACTACTAATAGTCTAATATATATTCCCATGTGATTATGTCAATACTCTTATATTCTAGTATTATTTTTATCAATGCACTTCATTGATATTATGTACGTTTTTTGGATTAAACTAATAATATATGTTGCTTAGAACTAGAGTTGTATTAATGTAATTATTGGTACCAAAGGAAAATGTTTTTTTAATGTAAATATTAATAAAATGACTCGTTGACATCGTTTTTTTGTGTATTTATAGATGGATGTGGTCCGGGGGAAGAAATTACGCCATTTCGTGCGTCACTTTTCTATTAATCTACTAAAATTATATTATAATAATATTTTTTTAT